AAAAAAAAAAAATGATAAAAATTCGTTAATTTTTGCGCAACGAGATAAAGAAAAAATAGATATAAAAATATCGAAAAATCGATATTAAAACGAATCATCTTAATTAACGATTCGATTTTCTGAAATTCTTTCGAACAGAACGTGGAGCGACTAGAAGAAGAAATTTCTTGCCTATCTTAGAGGATGAAAGTAACGGAATTCTAACTGATTTTAATCTTGGAATTTGGCTAAGTCTACCTTTTCTTACAGTATCTTTATGGTGGCCCCATGTAGGTTCTCAACAGGTTGTAGAAAAACTTTAGTCGAGAATAAAGAAAATTTGGAAATGACATATTACACGCACATTTAAACGATAATTAAAACTCCATCTAAGATCGAGACTCCATCCCCTCAAATAATTAATTTCTCAATTTTATAATTTTTGTCGAAATATCGTGGAAAAAGAAGAAGGAGAAAAGAAAGTCAAGAGGCCTCGAAATGAAAACCACTGGGGTACAGAGATCCTTTCTCACGACTTCCACGGTCACTTACCCCTGCTGCAAACAGCAACCCCTGGGCCAATGCAAGCAGGCCGCGCACGTACAGTCTCTTTACTATGTCCCGTTTACTATGTCCGCAATAGATACCCGGGGCATTACTTTGCCTACATAAGGGGATGGTCGGAGTATACATTTTCCTGTTGAGGAGACGACCTGGCCTACGGCCTCGAGTAGCTCGTGCAAATTTTGACAATTTTTCTTTTTCAAACTCGGCAGAAATGAGTTATCTGTTTTTTCTGAATATTATCAATATTTGAACTTTGTTTTTTTAAACGAATATGCGAAATCGAATGAAATTTGAAGAAGAAGAGGGAACGATATTTTATATCTTTTTTACGACACGTCTTGTATTTTTATTTTCCCCTCAGCAAAATTACCTGTAATGTTAAGAAAATATTGAAACAAATAAAAGACAGATTGAGAAACATAGTTTCTCATAGTTTCCTAAGATAACATCGTGTACAATAAATATTCTACGTTTATGAAATCTTTATATATACATGTTAGAGTGGAAAGGTAAATAAATTTTGTGGGAAGGATAGAAGTAACCTTCGATTTCTAATCTCTTCTTTCTACTTTTTGTTTTTTGCTTCGTAGAAATTTTCCATGTATAATCAGTAATGGTCGAGTGTGAACAAGTTTAATTAAAAAAAACTTAATACATGATCGAAAAACGTGAAAAATGAAGATCGGTAGTTAAGTTAGGAAAAAAAAGAAATTGAAAGATAAAATTACTTAATAATATTTCTACCACGTTACACGTACGACATTGTAACAAGAAAAATTTTTGGAGGAGACAAAATCTCCGAAGGGAAAATATTTGTCGGATTGTCAAGGAGCCAATTGGCTACGAAGAGTTAAGTAAATCAATACTTGTCTTCCATACATCGATGCTTCTTCTCAAGATAAAAATACTTTGAAGATTTCAGGGTCAATTTTCATTTTAAAATGAATTTTTTTTTTTTCTTTAATATAAATTACTTCGAATTTTTTTTTTTTTTAGTGACGATATAATATTCTAATATTAATGATATTCCAGTGATTTTAGTATACGTTTAATATTAATATTATTCAATATTACTATACGATTAAATATTAGCACAAATACTCTAATATTAATAATATCCAACTTATTTTAGTATTCTATAATTCTAACATTAATATTAATATACGAGCAATTGTTAGTATGAATATTCTATTTCATACACTTCGTTATATTTCATTAATATTAATATTAAATAATTTTACTGATTAATATTACTGATATATGATATAACGTTAATAATATTAATACGAATATTTTA